AGCTAAAATGGATATGGGAGAGAGGAGACAGGAACAGGAGCCAAAAACATACAAACAAACAAACAAGAATGCTAAGGGAGCTTGCCGTTGGAATGGAGGGATGAGAGACAATGAAATGGAGAAAAACACAAAGGGGAAAGGAAGAAAAGAAATGAATGAATAAATAAAAATCAGAAAGGTTAAAGAACCGCATAGTTCCCAGGGATCCCACCGATGCAGCTATGAGGTCTGGGGAAGTCGCTCTCAGGTGTTGCAGTATAGCCTGGCTAGAAGGCGTAGAGGTGTACAACGCCTGGTATTCAGGGATCAGAAAGAGAAGGAAGATATAGAGAGACGAGAAACTGAGCAATGAAGAAAAACAAAAAGGGAAAAGAAAGCAAAACAAATTAAAAAAAAAAAAAATACCAGAAAGTCCCCCCAAAATAACAGAAAAAATTAACCAACAAATAAAAGAAATGGAATTTCAGCTTTGTTCTACATTTTTCTCCCATTCTATCTGGGATCATCTATTTAGTCCCTGGTCAGAACGGTTATTAGTGGTAACTGGGCACCATCTAGTTCTTCTGGTCTCCAAGTAAGTGATATCATTATTCTTGTAGACTATTGTTTCTGTAGAATAGATTCTTCTTTGAGCCTTTGGTTTCTTTCATTCTCTGTAGCTCCAGATGAGTAGAGACCAATAGTTGTATCTTAAATGGCTGCTCACAAGCTTTTAAGAACGCTGATGCTACTAACCAAACCAAAATGTAGAACATTGTCTTTATGGGCTATATTATGTCAATTGACTGAGTTGCCCCACAAGATCATGGTCCTAAACACTCAAATCCAGTAGACCAGTCCCATGAGGTGTTTGGTTGTGTCTGGGAAGTGTCTGTAACTGTCCCCTATGTGCTTTATTTTCTACTTTTTATTTTATTTTTATTTTGTACAAATGATGCTGGCAAAAATGGATGTTTATCTGCAAAAAAAAAAAGAAATAAGACCCATACCTGACCCCATACACAAAAACTAATTAAAAATGAATCAAAGACCTAAATATAAAACCAAAATCTCCAAAGATCATAGAACAAAAAATAGGATCAACACTAGAGGCTCTACTACATGGCATTAACAGGATACAAACCATAACTATCAACACACAAACTCCAGAAGATAAGCAAGATAACTGGGATCTTCTAAAAATTAAACACTTATTGTAATCAAAAGACTTCACCAAAAGAGTAAAAAGAGGACCTGGGAACGAATTTGTGGCTATTACAAATCTGACAGATTTCTAATATCTAAAATCTACAGGAAAATCCAACACCTCTACAACAAAAAGACAAATAATCCAATTAAAAAATTGGCAAAGGAAATGAACAGACACTTCAGCAAAGAAGACATTCAAGAGGCTAACACACATACGAGGAAATGCACAAGGTCACTAGCCTTTAGAGAAATGCAAATCAAAACC